AGGGTTTGGGCCGTAATAAATGAAATGATGACAACATGGTTGTTCCATCTCATCAATAAAGTGACAAAGGTGCAGTAAGAACCATCTAATCAATAAAGTGATGAGAGCTCTTTTATTTTCATTACAACATTCATCTTCATATACATTCTAAGAAAAAGAAAGAATTACAAGGAGATGGATAGGTGAAGAAGTGACAAATCTTGAAATGCTACTATGTTGTGTGTAGATTCTATTGTTGCCAAAGGATTCTTTATCATGAAAAAACTTCCTTTTTGGGTAAAGTAAGTGAAACTTGTGCCATTAAATTATAGCTAGTAAACAAGAATGGATATTATAATGGAAACCTTCATCACAAAGCTTGTGATGAGATTTATCTATAATTTCAATGAAGTATTTCAAAGAGTTCTTAAAGGATTTAGGAGCTAAAGAAGAGAGAAGATATTGAAGTTATTAAGAGTTCAAAAGCTAAGGTTATGAAAATAAAAGAGGTTCTAAAAGACTCCAAAAGAAGGAAGGAAGAAGATGAGAGTGTTTATTCTCCTCGAGGGCAAAATTGTAAAGTTGATGAATCTAATCATTTGGGGCCATTGGATGGGTTTCTTCCTCAAGATGCGGACACATCTCTCATCCATGAAATTCATTTCTTCTCATCCCTTCACCTTTTCACCCATTAGAGAATGGAAGATCACTTGATAAACCTATGGTTGATTGCAAAGAAGAGAAGACTTTGGCCAAATTGGCTAAATGACAAAGCCACTTTGCAAATTCTATGTTAAGAGTGGTGAGTCCATAGTTTTGTCATTATGGATTTCTAGGGGCTTCAAATCACCTTAGACAATGGAATTCTTCCTTGTTTTATCATAGGTTTGGGTTTGACAAAACTAATAGATGACTACGCTTTCACCTTTGGCAAACTTTCTACACTTCAGCTAGCCTTTCTCTTTTGTTTGTTAGAAGAAGTTGATAAAGGAATGGTACCAAGCTTAACCATCCCTATCGTCCCCCTTGATATCAAGGTCAGATTTGTCATTTCATAACTTTTACGTGACTACTACTGTAGCCTTTCCCACCATTCCTAAGGGCTTTGATTCCAATGGTGTCATAACCTATGTAATATGAACCGTTGTTAACTACAAGCAAATCATAAGAAACATGTTAACACAACATTAGTGAGAAAGAGATATCCCTTAGCAAGCTGTCACTTCACTTCACCCTCGCCATCAATGAAGCTTGTTACTAACTTATAGCCTTTAGGCTCCTCATGACTTGCCAGTGATCATTTATTGTCAAATTCACATGTCTGTAATGAGAGACAACTAATGAGTGATCTTGGTAATAGCTCATGTCAGTCATGGATGTCAAGATTTCATTAGATATGGAACTTTGGGCTAATCTTAAAAAGTTAAAAAAAAAAAAAGGGCCCAACCAAGAAATCAAAAAGAAAAGTTACATGCTTACAAGTCTTAATGTTCCAAGTTTTAGTGGAGATCTTATTCAATTGATCAATTTGGTAGATTTTTAAACCCTAGATCTCAAGAAGTGTCAATGGGTTTTAGGTGCCCAAACTCGCCAATGTGTGATTCATCTCCATTTGCACAAATTTGTTGTTACATGACTTGTCAATGTTCCACTATCCCGCAATGGGTTCCGTTGTGCCACCACGCAATTTCAAGCTCTAGGTTCCTTACTGACAATGGAACCCAACTCTTCTATCACATGCATGATGGCAAGTAAACCGAGTTCGGTTCTAGAAATCGGAGGAAGGGAAAAAGGAAGAAAGCAGAGAAGGAAAGATGAAGACAAGGGCAAGATAGCAATTTCAATTGATGAAAAAACTGTAATTTTATTTTATTTTCTATTTAATAAAATTGCTAAGTTCTTAATTATAAAAGTTAATTATGAACATTTTAATTAATGAAGAATAATATAATTTATTATAATAAGTAGACCTTAAAACATTTTATTCAATGCATCATTGACATGTGAGTCTAAGTTATGTATGTATTATCATGTGTAGACAATGCTTTTTTAGCATTAGCAAGTGCCATGTCATATTTGGATTGAAAAAAAAAAAAAAGAAATTGCTAATTTGGCATGCCGCGTCAAATATAGTTAATGATGAGTTAAAAGGACTAAAAATATGTAGAATTAAAAACTGAGGATGAAAATAGTGTTAAAATTAGTTTAATGACAAAATGAGAAAATAAACAAAGTTTAGGGACTAATTTTAGCATTTGACCTTTTTTGTTAGGGCTTATACCAATTTGGGTTTTTGGGCCCACTTGAATCGTTACATTTAGTTGTTGAGTAGGCTTGACAAGTGGGTTCAAATTAAGTCATCTTAAATTGTGGATTTATCAAATTTAGTCATTTTAGATTTTGGATTAAAATGGGTCAATTTATGATCAACTCACACAAGTCTTCAATTAGGTACAATAGACCTAAATTTTTAAAAGGTTTATTGTCAATAAGAGTCCTCCAACGTAGTAAAAAGAGCTATTGTTATCCCTCTACTTTAAAAGAATTCATATAAATCCCTCATTTAGATAAAGAACCAACCGTCATCCTTACGTCGACAGAGATCATAACGTCATCCACCGTTGGTAAAAATTTAATGAAATTTTAAAGGTAAAATGACATTTATTAGTCTCTTGATTTTTAGTTTCTATGCACTTTGATCCTCAACTTTAGATTATTAAATTTGGTCCTCATTTCAATTTTTCTTATTACAATTTAGTCCACCGAATATTTGAAATATTTATATTTAAGTTTAAAATTTTTTAATTTCATGCATTTCAATTCTTTTTTATATAAATAATAGAAATTATATAACTTCTAATAAAATTATGTTTAACTTATTCAAATATCAATAAAATCATGGCCAAAATAGTAAATGAAAATATTTAAAAATTCATATCATCAGAATACAAAATCAACTCTTTGATACTTTTTTTTATCCCAAAAGGTTTTTACACTCAATTTGAAATCCTATAAATTATTACAACCAAAATGATGAAGTTGCAAATGATGTGAATATGACTTATGAGTATGGGGTAAATGTGATCGTATGAATATCATGAACAAATAATAACTTTGAAAACTATTTCTATGATTATTTGTATGTAACAAGAAAATAAAGGTAAATATCTCATTTTTACCCTTTTATTGATTATATTGTTGTTCTATTTTTCTTCTTCTTATATATATATATATATATATATGTTATGTACATACAAAGAATTAAATGTCATTTCTTTATTTTGAAGGATACTAAATTAGGTATTAAAAACTTGATTTTTCATTTTATTTAGGGAAATTTAATTTTTTTAATTTAATATTTTGGTCTTAATTTTATCCATATTTAACTTATTTAAATGCAATTTCACTAAATTTTACATGATTTTTATTATTTATGTAAAAAAAAAAAAAGAACAAAAGAGGTGAAATTAGCAAATTTGGAACTTAAGTATAACTCTTTTAAAAATTTAGAGACTAAACTATTGTAAAGAGGTTAAAATTAGGGACTAAATTGAATAAAATTAAACTTGAGCATTAAAGTGCACAAGAACTAAAATTTAAGGAACCAACACTGTTATTTTACCATTAAACTTTTAAGGATTTTCACCTTCGCCTAGACGACGTTCTAACGACAGGATAGAGGGATGATGATTGTCCTCTTTCCAAAGTTTAGAGATTTTTTATGAATTTTTTTAAGGTAGAAGGATAACAATGACCCCTTTTGCAAAGTTGAGTGATTTTTAGTGGCATTAAGCATTTTTAAAAAATTAAAATTAAAATTCTCATTATTTTCTATATTTTTCTTTAAAATTAATTATTTATTTAGCAAAAAAATCTATTAAATTAATATTAACTTTAATAATATAATAAATAATAACCATTTTATATATTCTATTTTATATTTAAAAGTTAAAATTAAAAGTATGTTGTAGGTTGGGGTTGATGAGTCAATAACAAAGATAATGTAGAAGCTTACTAGAATGACCCCTACGATAAGTGAAGAGGATCATTTTTGCTTGCACTCATTTCATGTGCTGGAAGCTATGTGCTACAAGCTGTCTCCCCTTATCTGGTGAAGATGTATTGTGTAAGTTCTCCAACAAAGTTTGAAAATACAGCTTCTCCAGCCAAGCCAGAAGAGTGGAGTGGTGGTGGAGTTGTGGTGATGGAGTTTCAAGGACCACAATTACACAACCACAAAAGAAAATGAACAAGTGATGTACATTATTACAAGAGCAACAAGGATAAAAAAATATAAAGATCAACTTTTACAACTTGAGAGGCACATTTATATAGAATATATTGTGGACTAATAATAAATATAATAAATGTGTCCTCTACTATCCTTCATAAAAACTCCAACTCTAAAATAAGCAACCATCATATCAGAGCTCAAAATACAATAATCTTCTTCAAACTTGCATAAAACAAGGAAGGATAAACTAGAAAGTAGTGATGGGAGAAGAAAGGATGACCATTGTGGGGGCTTTCGATGGAGGACTTGATCTCGTTTTGTGATGCTAACTCTGTTGCTGGCTGATCCTTTAATGCTCAAGGAAGACAACCTAGAACCTTAAATTGTGACATGCAATCTTTCAACCATAATGTCACGCCCCAAAACCCAATTTCGAGACGTGACAGACGTCGTGCACTCGTGAGACGAGTCCCACAAATGCATAAGGCTCGGAACTTAACATATCACACTCTGATACCACCAAAATCTGAAGATCAAATTATCAAATTTTCTCTGATATCATAAAATCTCCAAATGCAAGATCATGATTTATTTCTAAAATTTATATCCAATTACAATATGGCTAGCCTTCTAACTCGTCACTTCCC